TTTGTGGTTGTGTTGGTTGAAGTTTGTGGTTGTGTTGTGAAGTTTCTTGTTGGTTTGGTGTATGTTTCCGGTGGTGTTTTTGAGTTGAATCTATGGTATATTGAGGGTTTTAATGATTCTAAGTGATTTGGGGAAGAAACCATTCGATTTTAGGTGAAATAAGGTGAGAAAATGAGAAAATGAGCTTGCTGAATTTCTGGGTTGGGGGCCTGGCGCGACGCGCCTACCAGAGCGCCCCAAACTCACCTCTGAAGTTTAGGGGCTGGCGCCCCGCGCCACCCATGGCGCCAGGGTCACTTGCCCCATCTAGTTGTCATCGGTTGCCCCGTTTTAGTTCATTTAAAGTGCACATTCACTCCTTTTCGATTCCAACTACTCTAAGTTACTTCTAAACACCTAAAAAGTCATTCCTAACATGATCAAAATCTTGAATTCATAATTCAAATTCAAATTCAAGGTAGAGTTGAGAGTTATGTTTTGAGAATTCTTTCAAATATTCTAAGGAAATCCCTTTGAGTCTTTATGAGGAGTCGTCTACAATTTCTAGTAACTTGTTTCAAGACTCGAGCAAGTGAGTAAGAAAATGAGAAGTGTCGTAAACATGAGATCATTACCCTTGAATCCATAATCCAATTCAAGGTGAGTTAGGATCGAAGTCAAGTGAAGTTAGAAGTCAAGTGAAGTTAGAGCCAAGCTTAGAAGTTAAGTAAGTCCAAGCAAGTCTTTAAAGCTTTCCAATAGTCGTTGTCAAACGTTTTAACTTCATTTTAAGGCTCAAGTTCCAAGTTAAGTATAAAGTTCCAAGTTAAGTATAAAGTTCCAAGTTAAGTCAAGAGTTTTCAAATTAAGTCAAGAGTCAAGAGTTGAGTTCATTTCTCAAAAGTAATTAGGGAACTAAGTATTTCCCAAAGAAGTTTATAAGTGTTTTCACATTTAAGTTGAGAGGAAACTGAGATTTCCAAAAGAGTTTTGAGAAGTTTGAGTACTATCTCTTTTTGAGAAAAGATGAGTTTTGCAAAAGAATTTCTAAAACATGATTAGTATGACAAATCGAGTATGTCATCAATGTTTAAACAGTATGGTCTCTAGATATACCATAAATGTTTAAGCAGTATGAATATCCCGAGTCATCAATGATCATATTAAAATATGGTTTTGAGATGTTCTTTTTAGAAAGAGTTTTCAAAAGCAATTACCTCTTTTAAGAGGGTAGTTTTGAGTAATTACCTCAACTAAAGAAAGATGTGTTTAAAACACTTATAAGCTAAAGTATTTTTGGGAGTAGTCTTGAGCACCGAATAGGGCGTTCAAAGAACCCACAGCCCCCATAGAACCATGTTAGCCACCATGGGTAGAAAAGGATCATACTTTTTAGATGAATCCTTTTCCAGATAGACTAGTGGATCCATTAGGCAGTTCAGGTCTTATACCTTTGGCCGGGTATAAGATGCTCTGGCAGCGTGAGGTCGATCGATGTATCATCACTGTAGCTCTTATGTGATGGTTATCGGTTAGAGAACTCCCACAGCAGTAGAAAGAGCTTGGTTCCTCGATAAGTTCTGCTTAGTATAGATGGGGGTATGGGACTTCATTCATGCATTGCACAAGTAGACTTTGAGAGGAAGCATGGTATTTTCATGATATTATAAATATGATTTTTACGTCATGTTTTAAATAGTTTTACAAAGCTTTATATATATTGCATGTGTCTTATTGCTTTATATATTGAGTTCAGCTATTCTTGAGTTGAACAGAGCCAAGGTAAGCTCTCTTTTGTATCCCTTTCAAGCTTAAGTTGTTGTTTAGCGGTCCAACTCGCATACTCGTACATTTCATGTACTGATGCCAGTTGGCCTGCATCGTCTTATGATGCAGACGCAGGTACCCAGGATCAGCATCCAGCACGCCGTTGATCCAGTTGAGCACTCCAGAGTCAGTGGTGAGCCTCTTTGCATTCCGGAGGACTCGGATATTTTGTGTTCCTAGTTTTGTTTTATTAGGATGTTGCGGGGTCTGTCCCAACATCCATCTTAGTATTTTAGAGGCTTCATAGACAGTCAGTCAGTTAGTATTGAGTCTCTCATCTATGTATATATGTAAATATTCTATTTTGAGACTCGAGCTGCCTTTTTGGCCAGTTTTTATCAGTTGGTTGTTTATAACCTTCCATTGCATTGAGTTATGCTTTTGAGTTAAGTTTCCGCTGAATTAAGAAAGCCAGGTCAAGGGTTCGCTTTGGGCCAGCAATGGTCTCCGAGTGTCGGTCCCGCCCAGGGTGTAGGCTCGGGGCGTGACAACAAACACCTTTAAGGAAACAACCATCTAAGCCTATGCACTTTCTAGAATGTATCCATGCCTTCTTTAAAACATCAAAACAGATGAAAAAACTCTGAAATATTAAGTTGCCTTCTGCATCAGGTTCACTAACTTTTACAACACAACTGGTCCCTGGATTGGTCCTCAACAATTTATCCTTGTAATCAAGTATTCTTCCAAATTTCACAACATGATCACCCATTATATCTTTCAACACTTTAGCTTTTTCTCTTCTCACAGTAGTCTTGCCAACATGAAGTTTTAACTTTTTCCTAATCATCTCCTGCAACTTGAAGACTCTTATGTTTGGTTGCTCAGTTATTCTTTCTCTGAAGGCTTCAGATAAAAACTTTGCATTGCACAAGCAATTTCTAGTTGTCTTGTTGCAAGTATGCTTTGGATTGTAAGTTTTTATCATGAAATTATTTGTTGTCTTGTCAAGGCATCCATACAAAAGCCATGGACAACCATCTTTGCATCTAACTCTAACTTTCTTTGGCTCATTCACCCACTTCTCCACCTGAACCCTCCTTCTAACTACATATTTAATTACTGCTTGTCTTAATTCTTTCACATCTTTAAACACCATGCCCAACTGCCACACAACTTTCTTTGTAGTAGGATCATGAATGATTTTTTGAGTTTTTGAACTCCTCTTTCTTGACAATTTTACCCTTCTTGATCTACTAGATTCATGTTCATCATCATTACAACACTCATCTTCATCTAACTCAAAACTATCCTCATCAGAACTTGCAAAGTAAGGCTCATCACCTCCTAGCCTTCCTTCATCACTTACTTTACCTGTTCCAGTTTCATCAAAACCTAGATTTGGTTCAGCTTCACCTACTGGTACCTCTTCATTGTCAGTTGCTACTCTTTCCTTTATTTTCCTCCTTTGAAAACTTCTTTTTTTCATCCCTCAACTCCCTAACCTCCTCATGTACATCAATACCATACTCTTCCTCATCATCATCTCCAACTAATTCAGCTTCAGACTCAACACTATCCTCAGTTGAATAATCAGAACCCTCTACTTCTTCTTCTAAGAAATCAAGTCCAGCAGGACTAACATCTATATCATCATCAGTAGCACCATCTGTAGTAGTACCATCTGCAGTAGCAGTATTGAAAGGAGGTGTTGTAGTGAAAGGGGGTGAGGTTGAAAAAGTAGCAACAGGGTCCTCACTGTTTAAATGGTCTTCACCTACCCCAAAGTTAAAGTTTTCACTCTCATTAGGCCTTGTATTAAAAGCTGAACCAGATTCTCCCATATCCACATGACTACCATTTTCTATTAACATGGACCCCAAAATTGCCTCATCAACCAAATGCCTAACAAATACCTCCACTTCATTCCCATCTTCCAAGGAACACGTCATGTCTAAAATATCCTTATCATTATCAACATCTACCAAAATGCCACTGTTAGGTGCTTTAATACCAAAGGTGCAAGTTGTACTATATTCCAATTCTCTAATATAGTCTTTCAACTCAAAATATGACATTTTATCTACATCAACATCCAAAAATTATGTAACTTTTCCACCATTATATATTGGTTCCCCACTACTTAAATCTAACACCCCACCATGGTACCACCTTAGAGCAATCAAAGTAAACCCATTCATCTCTTACCTGATGGCAATAAAAAAAAATAGTAATTATAGACATACTCTAACCTGAGGGCAATCCAAATAATAGAATAGAACTTAAAAACGAACATAATACAGCACATTAGCAAACGAACAGAATACAACACAATATTTAGCTTCTCTATGAACATAAATACAACACAGTAACAGACTAGCAACTTCTCTATGAACATAATACTAAGAAGAACATAAATACAACACTCCATGAACATAATACTAAGACGAACATAATACAAAATTACGCGACTTAGACGAGAAAGGGAAAAACCTAATTTCATGAAAAATGTGGTATAATATGGTGTAAATGAACACATAACACTATAATCGTAAGCCACACATAAGATTTCACACAATGTTGCTCTTAATTTCACGAATCAACAAAAACCCTAGGGGATAAATCACAAACTCAAAATAAGCTAACCTTTTACTAAATCAGTTGATAAACTACGAAATGAAGTTGACAATACACATCAAAATCGTTCGATGATAGCAAATTTGTTTGATGATCACCAGAAATGCATTGCTAATGGAGAAGGATTGAAAATGAGAAAGGAGGATTTTTTCGTTCTTTTACGTTTAGGAGGGAAATGGGGGAAAAACAAGAAATGGGAGTTGAAGAGGCGAGGGACCCAACGCGTGGAATCACGCAGGCCTAATTATTTGGTTTATGTGTTGAGGTCAACACTTAGATGTGTAGAAAATAGAGAAATATAAAGTTCAGGTGAGTAATAGAATACCCGTAAAGTTGGAGTGTGTAGTTGGGATTTCGGATATAGGTTGGGGGGTTTAGACCATTTTCTCTTATTCTTATAAAGTAATGATGAAAATACTCGATTTATGTAACATAGATTTGATGAATGATTACATCGTTATTGTATCTAATACCAGTTATTATAGTTGTTTAAATTAAAAACGAAATAGTTTAGCTATGTTTTTTTATCCTTTTTTAATTCTTTTGAAAATGTGGAAATTTGGTTGCCATTTTTTCCCCCTATAAAGAAACCCTTTTTTCAAGGCAGAAATGGAGGGTTTTTGAGTGAAGTTGAAACGGAAAAGCCATGGCATTTTCTTCATTGCGTTCAACTTCTTCGTCTTCTGTGTTGAATAAACTCCGATTGTGCCAGCGCTCCATCTCTGCTAAGGCTTCTTCTTCTCCGAAAGACAAAGACAGAGAGAGATTGATGTTTGATTCAGAAAGGGAAACGGCGGACCTAACTTCAGGAATCAGTAGACCACTTTCTGATATACTGAAAGAGCTGAACAAGAAAGTTCCAGATTCACTCATCAAGTTTCGCCATGAACCTAATGGATTCTCCATCAAATACATACCATGGTGATCTTACTGCTCTGCCCCTTTTTTTTTCTCTGTTTCATTTTGCACAAAATGCTTTGTTATTGCTATTTGTTGGCTTCTTTGTAATTATTTTATATACTTGATTTTTTATATGTTACTCGAGTTGAGGATGTATTGGGAACTGCCTCTCTAAGGTAGTGGTAAGGTTGTGTATGCAACACTCTCCCTAGACCCCATTTGTGGGATTAAACTGAGTATGATTTTGTTGTCGTACTTACTATTTTGCATTTGATTAGTTGTGCTTGAATTGCTTCATAAAGATTATACCTTTTGGGGGGAGTTCTGTGGTTATTGATTGATAACATAACTCACCTCCAAGATGTGTTCTATCTTGTGTATATTCTGCATTTTAGAGTGAAGAGTGAAATACACACCTAAAGTATCCTAGTTTTTTGAGTTTCATACTCAACTATCGATTGCTTATTTTTCCTACTTGACATATTACCATCCTTTAGGTAGGTGAAGTGAGCAACTGATAGTTGAGGTGTGTTTTTGATAAATAGTTGGTGATAGTAAACTCAACACCTGATAGATCATGTATGAGACTCAAAAGACTGGGATAAGTTCCACGTTATGCAATTGGGGATGCTCTCCATATTAGATATAAGCTCTTTTAACTTTCTGTGATTGCCGCACTTCCAACAACCTACTAATTTTCTCTGGTAACATCAAAGATATGCCCATTATGCTAAAGAAAAGTTCCCAGAATTGTCTTGAGAATCTGCAAGGCAAGAAAATATATTATCTTGTTTCCTCCTCTGAATTGCAAAAATAGCATTTACTACACAAGGAAAAACCTCACCTTTGTAACTTGTGTTTGGCAAGCATCCCTAGTTGCTAGCCAAACAAAAAACTTACTTTCATAGGTGCTTTGGTTTTTCAAATAATCTTCTAGGGACAATTAGGATTTCCCTGTTTAAACCTTTGCAACAACATCTCTGTAACAGTTATTGACTGAAAATATTGTATGCCTACTGAGCATGAATTCAGTTGTTGAAGAACTACTAAAGGTAGGTCGTTAATAAAGTTTGAGAATTCTCTGATGTTTCTAGCTTCTCCCATTTTTTTCTTCCGTACACCTATTATATTGAAATCTCCTCCAACAGCCCATGGTAGTGAAACGATTCCACTGATAGCAGCAAGTTCTTTCCATAAGTACTTCCTCAGTTTCCTATCACAGGGGCCATAGACCCGACCCCTGTGAAAGCATATTGTAACCCACTGTTAATCTCCTCCAGGAAGCAAATCATTATCCTTTGCAGACATCCCAAATGTACATATTTATTCTCAACTTTTTAAACTCAAAAATATCATCAAAATACTATCATTTTATTGTATACAACTCTTTATACTTACTTTTGTACTCAACCACACAAGGAAAATGAACATTAAAATGATTTTCCAAAATAAATCATTGGGTATGTTGTTGTTGTTGTTGTACATCGTCCTCCATAACAAATGCACCCAAAGTATCAACTCTGAGTGGTCAACTTCGTTGGTCAGTTGATTTTGAAACATGTTTTTTCTTCATTTTATATTGGTGCGGGCCTTCATCATTTCTTCACCCGACGTATTAACACTTTGCCGGAATAGTGTGTTCTGCATTTTGTTTCTGTTGCTTTTTACAATATAAAAAAAATCGACTTATTTTTTATGACTTCTGAATCTTTGCAGGCATATTGTGAATAGGATTATGAATTTACATGCTCCGGGTATGTCAATGTTCTTTTTTATTTATTTTCCCTTTTTCTGCGAATGAAACTACTTTTACTTTAGTCAGCCAGTTGACAGTCAAATTTGTTGCCAATTAGAATGGTCTGGCGAAGTTCGAAGCATCACCTACTCATCTGATGGCAAGTCAGTTTCAGTTGTTTATCGTGTGACAATATATGGGACTGATGCAGAGGTATTGCTATCTTTGTTACTTATGCTTGACAGATTGTTTCTATTATTAAGATGTTCTTTTGCGTAGTGATAACTAGCCTGCTCTTGATATCATTTCTGTAATATTTTTCTAAGCAACCAAATACTGTTGTTCATGAGGTGCTGCCTTTTAACTTGAGAAGACCTACCTAAAAAGCCACAGAAAGACTCTTTAACCGACTTTAAAGCTATGTAAGGAAGAACATCTCTTAGTTGCCTATCACTTACTATCTTCGAAAAATGATGTAATGAATTAGTCAAGGTGAGCACAAGCTGACGCTTACGATTCACTGTGTTGTCCCTTTGCTTTGAATAAGCTTGTAGCTGATTTCGAAATTGTGATTTTTTTCCTTGAATTCCTTTCCTTCGTCTATTGGGGTATGGAGCCACTGCATGTAACAACACCGCATCTTACCTGTTGGAGAAAACCCATAAAATAGATGTGTACGCTTGTGCTTGTTACCTAGTTTTCTGGTTTGCTTGCATTTCATTTACATGAGAAATTTTTACATTATCAAAACTCTGATGATGATTTTTTATTTCTTTGCTCTGTTTTGACTTAGATATATCGAGAATCAACTGGCACTGCTTCAGTAGATGATCCAGGTTATGGGGATCCAGTGCAGAAGGCAGAGGGTATGGCATTTCGTCGAGCTTGTGCTCGTTTTGGGCTGGGACTTCATCTTTATCACGAGGACATGTCTTAGACTGGGATAGGTCCAAATTTCTTTTTGGCATGAGCAAAGATCCCAATTTTGTGGTTAAAAAGACATTACCAACAAGGCAACTGTACTATGGAGTCTGGTTCATATTGTAAGATTGCTGTATTATCTTGATCTTGTTCATTTTGTAAGCCCAAAAATGTTCTTTCAATGTGGCAAGTTGGTATTTACTAGGAGTAGAAACTCCAAATGTATCTGGGAAAATTAGCTATATAGTCATAATACCTAACATATTTAGTCAAAACAACACTTTAAAATATTTATTTAAAATGACAGAATGTCAATATTTTCAAAAATAATTTGTATTCACATTTTATTATTTATATTTCCTTTTATTAATCAAAAGAGTCCATAATTGGATCAAATTCTAACCAATAACAGATTAAAAATAAAAAACAAATACAAAACTATCCATTAATATCTTCCCACATCTTAGACGTTTCCCACCTTTCACGTTTCGCAATTAAAGTTTTTGTTTTCCCCCAATTTTCACGTTCTTAGATTCTTTTTCTTCAAGTTTTTTGCTCACATTGAAACACAAGGTATTCAAAGCTCGATTCTTCAACAAAATTGGTGGATTAATTCAAGGGATTAATCGGTTGGTAAACAAAATCTAGAGATTAATTCAAGAAATTTTGAATTTGGTAAAGGTAATATCGATTAGTTATTTAGATTTCTTTTGATTTGTTTTCAATATCACCGTCTATGGTTTTATTTAGAATTGTACATATTACGGATTTTCAGTTAATTTTTTTGATTTTTATTCAAGTTTGTTTACATATTCATCTAATATTTATGTATTTCAAATTTTTAGTCGTTTAAACAATTTTTTTCTAATTTCGTTTTAATATTTCAGAAATTCCTCCAAGACGTGATTACTAGCATATGAATGGTGGTTAAAATCTCTTCATGGTATTGGCACTAAGGTATCTGGGATCAATTTCAATGGCCCTATTAAAGGTGCCACCAGTTTCCCCCAAGTTATTCTTACTGCAGTTGCTTTCAATAGAACTTTGTGGCATTGGATTGAATCGGCTATTGCAGTTGAGGCAAAGGCTATGTACAATACAAGATTCATTTCAATATGGATGCTAAATTGTATGTCAAATTGATCTGTAGTTCTTGAAGAATCATATTTGTATTCATTTATTTTTTTCACAGTGTAATGTATTTTTTTTAGAATTTTATATCCTTTCCTAAATTGTATTCATTCCAATATATATGTGTATTTGTATTCATTATGATTTTCATGTTTGGGTTTGTATAATGACATTTGTATTTCTTTATTAGTTTGTAATCATTCTAATAAGTATGCCAAATGAAATACAAATTATTAAAATTTCGTTGACAAACAACTTTGGAAGAAGAATTCCCAACTCAAACTTCGATATAATCGGTGTTCTCCAAAACTGAAACTTTCTTTTTTATTATTATGTTTTCATCAGAATTGTATACCAACAACTTTTGCATTTTATGTGCTCACTTTACCATTCAAATTAAAACTTAAAATTGATATTTTACTTTCATAGTGAAAACTAAAAATTGTGTTCAAGGATCAAAATTGTATTACATAACTGCCAAATATATTTTTCTTTTATTTATTACAAAAATGTTACTGATTGTATCCCAATATAATCTAATCATGACATATAAATACGAATTAAGAAAGGATACAAACTTATTTGTATTCATTTTGCGTTTGAAATACAAAATGATATTGAAATACATAATTATTTTTGGAATACAAACTGAGCTAGAGAAAATAGTTGCTACAATTTTAAAGTGAAATACTAATAAAATAACAAAACTGGATATTGTAATATAAATACAATTATTTTAATACAACTTATTCTATGTTTTTCGAAAACAATATTTTCAGTGAAATAATAATAATATAACAAACTGGGATATAAATACATTTTAGTTTGAATACAACTTAATTGTATCCAACAATCACTACAAATCAACAAAAATCTGTATACAACCACTAATTAGTTGATGTTTTTTACTCCATAGTTGTACGCTGTCCAGAATTGTTATGCTTGTATCCCTATATTACAAAACATCCGTAAAAAGCTATAAATCCCAATACATACAAAGATTTCACTGATTTAATTAGGAAAAAAAAACAACAATTTATACTCGACATATGCAAATATTTCATCCAAACAAGAAAAAAAATTGAAAAAAATACCTGGTTGTTTTTCGATTGTTCACTGGATGCGACAAATTTATAGTCCTCAATTTTGAAAAATTTCATTTAAAAAAATATGCCATATTCAACTTGAAGAATCTTTGAAAGTTAAAAGATGAATGATTCGGAAGACAAACTAAATTATTTTTTTTAAAAAATTGATGTTCTTAAGAAGAAAGAAAAAAAAGCCTCGACATAAAGAAGGAGATTTATAATTTTTTCAAAAGGTAACTGATTTGTATTTATTTATTTTTTTTACCTTTTTTGAATTTTTTCGTTCCATGATTTTCTCTTTTTTGTTATTAATTTTTGTATTCTTTCAAATTAATCAAAATAAAATAAATACATAACTAATCCATTAACAAACTAAAATAATGACATTTTAATAAATAATGAAACTGTTGCTAAGGAATCCCACTAAAAGATAAAATATTGTTGTTTTGAAAATTTTCCCATGTATCTGGGCAAATATGTTACTAATGAAAAACAATGGCCCATTAGTATAATTTTAAGTATTATTAGTATGATTTAAATGGTGATCTCAAAATCGAGTAGTTGTGCAAACTTCGGGTAGAGAAGGATAAATTTGCTAAATTAGTTGGCCCAAATAGCAGTTGTATACTTTCATCATTAGCCCAATAGATATTCTGGGCCAATCCAACAAGGAGCTTAAGCTAGGAGAGAATTGGGCTTGCCAATTGCCATAAGTACCTGTAAGATAGCCAAATTAGCCCCAAAAGATCACTTGTAAGATGATATTGTAACAATTTTATTTTCAATTTATGTGGCACCGAGTGGTGGTTAGGCATGGAGTTTAAGAAATAATAGAAGACTTTATCATGTTTTTCCAAGTTGTCCTTAATGTCACTTTAGTGCTTAATGTTAGTTGACATTTCTTCACAATTAAGTGTTAAGTGAGACTTAGTAATGATATAATAGGGTGGTGTCATTGAATAGTTGCCTAATAAGGTAATGTGACATTTTTCCTTGATGAACTTAGAAAGGATGACACATAAATTGGGACGTATAGAGTATTATTTTTTGGTTAAAGATTGTAACAATTCAATACTCCAAAGTAGGGTGAATTAAGAGAATAAATCTCACAAGGGATGATTTGAACTTTTCTCTCTTTTTTCTTCAAAAAAAAAATGTTTTTTGTCCTTCATCAGACATACATCAGATTTGTCTCTTAGGAGCATTTATGTGTAAGCTAGTGAAATATTATAAGAGTGGGAGTTTCGGGGCGAAATGGTCAAGATATGGTGTTGGGAATGTTGGGTGGGTGGGAAAGAGATAAAGAACTTTAAAGTTACTTTTGAAACTTGTTTCTGCTATTTCCATAAGGAAACTTATTTTCCTCATTTTTTAAGGAGCTCGACCAACCAGACAAGGAAAATTTTTAAAAATAATTTTCAGAAAATATTTTGTACTATACGAAACACAACCACAAAAAATCCAAAAATAGGCCATCAAGAGCTTGTTGGGCCAATGTGTATGCTAATGTTGGCCCATCTTAGTTGGCTCTACCAAATGGTAAAAACTACTATTTAAGAAATAGTCAATTTAAAGCGAAAATAACATTTACACAAAAATATCTTTAAATTATGTAAAATAAAATAAAATTTGAAGTATTGTTATTTCGAGTAATAAATATTGTCCAAAAAGGACCAAAAAATTTATGCAATAATGGAGCATTGATATTTTAGGTCCTTAGCATACCACGTTTGTTTTGTAAGGCTTGGCTTGTATTTAAAGAGAGTGACCTTTTGGAGAAATGTCTCCAAAAGTATGACAGCAACTTCTAAAAATCTATCATTTTCTAAGTGAAACATGAAAGGTATCCATCATTCATCAATTCCATTTCACTCATCCTTTCTTAATTTACCATGTTATAACTTATAACTAGTTTAATGTAGTCCTTCATTTTTGTTTGCTTTTTCGTGATTTTTTTTCCAGTAGAGTATATGATATCGATAGCCTCAATATATTTAGAAATTACTTTCTACTTTAGTTACACCAAACCTAAATGATAAGTATAGAAAGGAAGATTCTTTATGATCGATCGAGGAGCTAGATTTACAACGATATTATAATATTGAAATAATAATAATAATAATAATAATAATAATAATAATAATAATAATAATAATAATAATAATAATAATAATATTAAAGTAGAGAGAAAAGAGACTGTATTTGTATTATTGATGTGATTCTATGTAGTACGATTATACTTCTCTGGGAGTTGTGGACTTAGAGCCTGTTTGACCAACCTACTAAAAATCGCTTATTTTGAGATTTTTTTTTATTAAGATAGTTTTTTAGAAAAGTACTTTTAAAAAACAAGCAATATCATGGTTGACTAATTCATTTTAAAATGTTTGATAATTGCAACAAGTATATGAAGCAATTGTCTTTTTGTTTTATCATTTAAATGTATGATTGAAATATTAATAAAAGGAAATGAGTTGTTATACGCAGTAACCTCACAAGTTGTTTATAAGGGGGATATTTGTGTCAAGATTCTTTTCCGCTTCAATTTTTGTTATTTTTAAGAAATAATTATTTTTTCTTCTACTTAAAAGTATTTTTACTTATTTTTAGAACATTTCAAATTTTTGAAAAAATAATCCCCCTCCTCTCCCGAAAAAACATTTTAATTTTCTTTGATGATCATAGAATGTGTAGCCTAATACACAAATTGACAATCACTATACATTGGATAGTGGTTATCAATGTGTGTTATTTATTAGGAGTAATATAAGTAGTAATTGATATTACTTTCAAATATAAAAGCTAATGATGCAATTATCAAATGTAAACGTTAATCACATGAATTATTATCATTTAATGAAGTTGATGAACGATATTTATAGTATTCAGTATTCACGCGAGATACTTACTATATATCATAAAAGAGAAAATACATGATTACCCCATCTCATCGAACGTATACCCTTTTTTAAGTAGATACCTAAAGATTGTGGGGATCCTATTATCCCA